ATTGTTATTTATAATATTATTACTAAAGGAGAGAATTGTTTTTCTCCACAAAGACAAAGAAAATGTTTCATTTTTCTTTTAGAGAAAAGTCTTTTTCTTTGTTCTGCAGTAAAACAGTCACAAGTTCTTATTACAGATCTTTATTTAATATCATAAAAAAGTGTTTCTGTGTTTCAACACTTGAAGGCTCGGTGTGTTTATTTGAAGCTGAAGATTTTGTGTCTCTGGACAGATTTTATTTAGAGGAGGAAGAAGCAGGAGAGGCTGCAAAATAATTTAAAAAGAAACCTTTTCATGCTCAGATTATTCTAATCTGCACGTCTTGAAACTGAATGATTTATCTTGTTTTGAAATATTTTAAAAAAAATAAGAAATTACAGAGTGAAGCTACAAAAAACTGGGCTTTTTTGTTAATCGTGACAAACAAAAAGCAAAAATTGTAATTTGTTTCCAATTTTATTAAAGTTTTTATGAAAAATGCTCTAATTCTTAAAAGAAAAGATGCTTGTGTTTTTCTATCGTGGTTATAAAGGTTTTGATTTTCATGTTGAAAAACCTTTGAGCCGCATGGAGCTGATCAGACCCATGATGTGGGCCAGTATTTATTGGCCTAAATATGTCAGTTATTTTAGTTTTTTTAATATAAATTTCTGCAGAAATAAAACACAATTATGTTTAGGCTGGTAGTATTTTCTTTTCTTTCATTTTTATTTCTCTAAAATCAATGAAAATCTGCCTCTTTTATCTTTCTAAAATCAGGAGCTTTTTGTCTCAAAGTGATGCTGAGAAACAGTTTGACGTATTTGTGACACAAAGGTTCGATTACTGCTGTTAATGCTGTATTTAAAAAAAGAAAAATTTAAAATATCCTCCAGCTGATCCAGAACACTGCAGCAAGAGTTCTGCAGGATCACACCGTCCTCTGATGAACCGTCAACACGTTGTTTTTTTACTCACCTGTCTGTCATATGTCCTGATTTTAATGGAAGGTGATTGTCTGAGTAACTTTAGGAGTTATTCCCATTCAAAATGGCTGCCACAGCATCGGCTAACACACAAAAGATTTTTATAACTCAGTCAGTTTTATAGATTTTAAGCTAAAATTTGGTTTGGCAGCTGAGGGTCATCCTTTTTTACAGGCCTCAACTGTTGGTTTGTAGAAACTGTCCCATGGTTTTAATAAAACTCTCAGAAAGCCATCAATGGATCAACAGGTGAAGATGGCCAGCACAGCCTGCTAATCTCAGGAAGCTTAAAAAACATTTGCAACAAACTCAGATTTGCAGATGGGGTGAAGATCATGTGGTAGTATAGCTGAGAGTCATCCTCAACCTTGGTGGGAGACATGCAGGCCTCTGGTTTTAAAACCTCTTTGTTTTTCTGTCTTTCATATCACTTTTCAAACACTGGATTTTATGAACAGACATCGGATACATAAGCAAAATCTGAGAATAAATAAAAAAAAATACAAATAAATCTACATACTCACAAGTCGTAGAAAACCTTTTTACTTTTATTCTTTCCAGCATCAATGCTTTATAATCTTATTTTCTTTACAGGAATAGGAGTGTTTTTGACGTGTTTATATTGTTTGTGTGTTTGAACAGATTACAGAAGTCAGAGCAGCTGGGAGACGGGCGTGGCCTCCATCACACAAAACAGTGAGTTCTGTCTTTTTACGTCAATGTGAACACAAATTTACATTAAAAACATAAAGTTCACACAAGTCACAGGAAGTTGGACTTTACATGACTGAACAGACAGTTTCTACACAACCTGTTGACGATGTCACACTCCAACCTTTCAACTGAGACTGGATATAATCCATCACAGTAATTTTAGATTAGTCTGGGATTATTTTGTACTCCTCCACAGTTTTATTAAGGAGTCTCCTGTGAAATGTTTACAGACCGGTCGGTCTTCATGCTTCCTATGGCTGTTTATAAATCACAGATGAAGCTGGGAATATCCCGCTCAGACGTGAGCTTTCAGAAATGAAGTGAGCATCGTGGACGTGAAACAGAACTCAGCTTGATGTGGAAATCAACACATTAAATGTGTGACAGACGTCTGCCTCTTCAAAACATGATGAATGAACTCAGTTTAGTGATTAATTAAAAAACTGAATAAAAGGTTGCATCGTTATGGATCTTCCCTCTGAATTAAGTCTGTTTGTTGTTGGATCCCAAGACCAGCTGGTCTCACAGAACACATCTCTCTTCATTACATCATTGAGCTTCAGCTTTCTTCGTCACATGTTGGCCGTTTCAGCTCAGTTACTGCCTCACTTTGTGGCACAAAGGTGCACCGGGGGTGGGCCGGCTTCAACCCCCCCTCGCCGCCTCTGTTCACTCACTGAGTGTCTTTTTTTGTGTCACTTCAGTAGAAAACAAAACTAAATATTAGTTTATTTAGTTTATTTATTTCTTCATCATCAGTGACTTTTTTTAAGTGAAGAGAAAATAGAGAGAGAAAAACAGAGAGAGAAGTAATTAGAAAGATAGAAAGACTGAAATAGTGATTAGGATTATATTAAATATACACCAACAAAACACAGGACCACACACCCAACATCTGTCCGCTCACCTGAAAAATAAATGGATAGATACATGGAGGGCATATATAAATATATACACATACCCACACATATATAAAGATATACAAACATACAGTACATGCCTACGTTCATAAATATTGTCCGTATAAACACACAGACATATATACACACTCACTGACCAGTCAGAACCCCCCGGATCAGAACACCTGTTTGTGAGCAGTTGTGAACATGCGTGTATATACAAGATTTCTCCAATGGAATATTTAATAGTGACTGTGGAGGACCGAGACCCAACCCCCAAGACACGAGGCAGACATAGGGAAGACCAGAGCCCAAGGGCCCGAGAGGGATCCCGAGCGCAGAGCCCCAAGGGGCACCCACCCGCACGGGAAGATCCGCCCACCCACCCCCCAGATCAGACCATAGGGGAGAACTGGGAGAGTCCACCCAGCGACCACACGCACAGCCCCCGAGGCCAGCAGTGACAAACTCATGGGCCCCACGGGCACCCGCCATACCAGAGCAGATCCAGGAAAGGGCACAAAGGTCCGGGCCCCCAAGGTGCACCCCCTCCAGGCCAAAGCACGACAGGTCCAGAGGTCCCGAGCCCCAGCAGGCAGTCACCATGCCAGGCCGGCACACACCCCAGCGCCCAGCCCCAGACCCCGGGAACCTCCAGCATGCCGGCGGCCAGCCACACACCCCACCGGGGGGCCGAGTAGCAGCGGGCCCCCCAGATAAACCAGCAGGAGGGGCAGCCCAGACCGCAACCTGACAAATACCCAAACATACACAATCACACCATCCTACCCTCACCCTCACCCCCACTCAGTCAAAGACATACAAGGACGCYACATTCCACTCATACCCCCGATACACACTCTATACCCCGCAGGTCCAGGACATGCACCCACCGCCTACTGGAGGCAGCACACACCCGAACCCAGGAGGTAGACCCAATCATTCTGAGGTGGAGAGGAGCAGGTAGCCAAGGCCCGGCCCGGGCCGCACCAGGACGCCCGGCCAGCCCCCCGCCACAGAGAAGCCATGCCCATGACCACYCCACCACACCGCCAACGACCAAGTGCACCCCCCCAGCCATCCACCCCATTCACTGAGTGTCATAGAGGAGCCTAAAAAAGGAACAAAAAGGTCCATTTGTTGTACTCAATGCTGCTGCAGAGATGTGACGATCTGGTGTTTATCTTCAGTCATTCATGACTGAGAGACGGAATACAGACTGACAAATAAATAAGCAAATAAATGCAAATAACACAACAAACCTGTCATTTGCTACAATTTTAGAAGACCAATGAGGACACCTGAATGTTTGAACAAATTCTGCTGTTTCAGTCCAAACACACTGACGATAAAAACAAAACAATTATAGAAGGACTAACAACAGCTCTGTGGTGTGAATGAGTGGATTTTGAAGCCGCCGTGTCTCTTCCCCGGGGAACACATGCTCTGCGTGTGTTCACAACTGTTTGCTTCTCACTGAGGGACGGCACCAAATTGACTCCATATGTCTGGTTATTAATTGTGTGTCAGCTGAGCTGAGGGAAACCCGGCTGGGCTCTGCTGAGAAACAACAGCGTCATCAACATTTCTGCAGTGAAACCACCGACCCTGCAGGCAAATAATCCAGACCCACGCAGACTCAACAGGAGCTCCTACACTAAAAAAAATAACTTGTAAAATTTACTTGAAAAAAATCCTCGTAACAATTTGCACTAACGTTTGTTAAGTAAATTTAAATGCTGCAAATTCATGTAATATTTACTCATCATTATCTAGTAAAAGTTATTAAGAATACAGTTA